TCGTTTGAAAATGCTATCCAACGCAACTTACTTGATAAAGCGTTTTGTTTTCTCTTGTATTCTTCCCCACTGGCTTTATGCATCTCCGGTTATTTTTCCGGGTCTTATAATCAAAGACTTCAAACACATACGTACACAAATCAAATACGTATGTCAATACATCGACAAATCTCTTAAGCATGTTGAGTAGTGTATTATTTCACAGCACTTTAGGGCTTGCCGGAATACCACTTGACCCATCTCACTCATTGTACCCTCACCTTAGTGTATCTCTACATCTAGCACTCGCTTCAAGAATAAGCATATAGCAGCACGCACAACAACACACAAGTCTTCCGTGATACCGTACTTGACACGGTGTCTTACTAACACCGATCTTGTCATTGGGGCCCTAAAACAAAATCCTTGCTGAATTTCCCTAATTTTTTGTATATGTAACACATCGTCATCCTTTTTTACTAGGCAATTCCCACAGAAGAGTAATTGTGTAATAGCTAAATGTTCATCCCTATTGAACTAATCAAAGCCGCTTCTTGACTTGACTTGACTTGCATACATACCATTCCAAGCATTCTGGCCTGATGAGAAATGACAACTAGAACGCCACTGCTGTCGGCTCACTGCCGTAGCCTTCAATATCCCCAACCAACCAGATGAGGAGTCTTTCGGCCCTAACCTGGAAGGCTTGAGACCCCTACTATACATAACGAATCTCTGCATTTCTTCATGCCTCGTCTCCATCTCATCTGTTGCCCCCATGTGGTTTCCTCCAACCCGGAGCGGCTACAGCGAACAAGGCGCCGTGCGGCAGACGAAAGCTGAGCATACGCAATAGGTGCCCCAACCAGCGAAGTCTACTAATCTTAATTCTATGTGCTAGCAGGTTTATCTCTGATCGACTCCCAAACACATGGCGGCTTACCTTCAGATTACTAGCTAGTTCGCTCTATCTCATTTCGGCTAAACTGCGTAAATACCGATAATTGAAAACTCCTATTCAGTGGATATCTTCTACTCGAAACTTCAATGTCACACAACCATAAAGCAGAAATGAACGAACGGAAACACAATATACGCGACCTTTCAACTTCAGTGAAACGTCGCGTCTACATCAAAGGTGTTTCAGTCTTGCGTATGCTGACTGAGCCTTGGAAATGCGCGACTTGAATTACATGACCTTAGGTTAGAAAGACGTCCAACTTAGATTGACTGTCGTTAAGTAGAAATAAATTTGTGTGAAATTGATCACATTGTCAAAAGTTCAAGCGATTGTACACTTGTTGGAGTAACTTAAGTGGGTCAGGGGAGATTAAGCGTTTGCAGAAATGAATTCGATTACTGGTATTGAAGATCAATGCTCTTCATGTGGTCCGTTGTGTCATATATGATAATCAGGTTGTATAAAAGTCCATATGCACTGCAGCTTGATGTATGAATCGGAAGCTCTCCGAGTTGAAGTCGGGGTAACTTCAGTAGCGAGGTTATTAAAACTACTGCAAAATATGCTAAGAAGACGCTAGGGAGATTTAGGGTACAATGGCCAAGTCCCTGATTTAATTTGACAAATCTGACGGAAATGCAACATAACCTGAAGAAGAGGCATGTTTTTAGTTGTTCAGAAATCCGACAATGCCTATGGTTAAATATGATGAAGAACATCAGAATGGAGGATGATAAATTACAGTCTTAAGAGTTTAGATTTAGCTCCGAATTTTTTGGGGTTTTTAAATGTACTCTGTTGTCAAGGAAAGTTAACTGGATGAAATTTCGGATTTCGGATTGTCTTTTTTTCTAATTCGGATCATCAAAAACAATATAGACGGTGTATATGAGAAGGATACCAATGATAGAATCTCGATCTTTTGTATAAACTGGTGACATAAAGCACAAGGTTCTCCCCTTTGTTTGTCGACTGATGAGCTGCACTGAATTTTATATATCAACAACAAAAATACATATAGACATCCAAATATTCATTTGTTCGATGATTTTTCAGCTTACAGAACTGTTTTCTTTCGAGGTGGAGTTCAATTACAATCGATTCACATGACTAACTGCGTAGTTTTGTGTTCCGAGTAGATTTAACATATGGAATGTATCCGGAGCTGATGATTATAAGCAAACTCAATTGATACTCAAAAATTAAACAAATGGAAATGACAAATGAAATAAATCACCCAAACATAGCTGGTTATTATGAGTAGACCTTTTATGGGTCATATTCAGAATCTTAGTTTGTTTCGGAAGATTTGAGGGGAACGTTTTGTCCCTTAATGGTCTACAACTGCGTGTTAGTAGTATGGTTCTCGTAAGTAGTTTGAAATATGATTTCTGTGTTGAAGCGGGTGAAACAGTGCACTTCATTAAGCCTTACCAATAGAAAATTGAACTTTTGTAGTGTGACACTCGACTTGATTCGACAATGTGCCTGAGCGATTCCGCAACCAGTATTCCTGGCACCCTTTTTTCAGCAGACTTTATTGAAATCAATTGGGAAGCGGTTTAATTAGATCAAACCTTGAGATCCGGACAATAATTGAGTAGAGAAAGATCGCTTCGGAAGATTTCAGGGTACGTTGGATCGAATAAAACAAAGCCCGCTTGAAACGGATTAAATGAAGCATAGTTTGGCTACCACGTTAATTGAGATTTAAATGACGAGTGAAACAATAAGACAATTGTTTTCCAATGTGAATAGTGATTGAGGAAGTTGAAATAAAAAAGGATGCATTGCAATTAAGCTGAAACCGTACGCATGCAGTAGTTGGTGTAAAGAAAATTTAAGAAAATCTCTCTGCTTCGTTCTTTTCGGCCCTCACCTCCAGGCTCTTGGTACTCGCAAAGCTAAAAAAAGCATGCCTACTGAAGACGAGTATGAACGACAAGTGTATGAAGGAGATCAGAGTTAGAGTTTATTTAGGCAAATTGTAGCAAGAAAGGTGGGAACAAAATCTTTCTTTTTGATTACTTACGTCGATAGACAAACACAATAATCATGAGCAGTAGAAGCAGGATCAAACCAACTGACAACAGACTGTAGGTCAGGACACCTGTCACGTGATTCAACGGTTCAAAGATGGAGGAGTAGCCACTGTTACTGCCTGAGAGCACGGAGGAGGGTATAGGAGAAGGAGAGAGAGAGAGTGTGTGGGTGGGAACAAAATGAAGAGACGGAGTTCCGTAGATGGGACTTACCTCAAACGTTTCAACACGGACGCAACACAGCCCTTCACTCATCCTCTACATATTGTGGAAACGCTAAGCAGAAGTTCTGCACTGAGTTCTAAACAAAACCTGGTTATTATATAATCAAGTGGACTTCACTTTTCAAAATTCGCTCCATAGTTTATCGCGTGCTCATTTATGTCTACCCTCAGTACAAAACTTGCCGCGGTACAACCTGTCTTGTACAGGATTTTCCAATGTTTTCAGTGCACACTTTAGAGCAATATTCAGAAAGAAATATGAAATCCACAAATACTTGCTGTTCAGTCTTTGGGTGCACGCGCTCCTCTCCATGGAGGGATGAACAAAACAAGCGAAGAAAATCACCACCAAATTTAGCTCAAAAGAAAAATTGACCCAAAGCTCCTAAAAATACCACCGACAGTGACTAAAACAAACCACTGTCAGGATCCCAGATGATTACGATTTGAAAACGTGAGTAAGATTGTATGACTTTTGGTAACTTATAGTCAAACACGTGTAAATGAACTTTCTCGCAAGTGTTTCGTACTTGCATATGACGAGGAACTGAGGTGAGTCTTCGCCGATGCCCAGCGGCTTCTCGTTCCCCAATAATACTTTCATATTTTCTATCTGAAAAATCATCGTGATACTAGCATGTTACGTTATACTTCATATGCATTGTGCCGTGAACAGTAAAATAAAAATGGTCAAGATGCAATGATGTCCTCAAAGATTGTGACATTCACTTTAGTTCGCTGGATAGCTAGATAAAAGAAGAGAGGTAGAACTGCTCAACTCTTTGGTCCTTCTTATGTCACGTATATCCTTCTGTTAAAATAATCACAAAAAGACTGTAGAATTTTTCAGTTTTATTTTTAATCCGACAGTAATTAACTTTGAAAAACATGAAAAAATAGCAGTATTTTTACAACGCACCAGTGATAAAGAAAGTGTAAGCATATAACAGGTGTTTAGTGCAAACAAACGATGTTTCGTTTCACCCCCTCATATTCCTAGAGTTAGTGCAGAAGTACGCATACCATTGGCTCTTTCCAGCTCCTGANTCAATTTTATTTTTTAATTCCACACTTTTTACTACCTGGTTTGTCTGGTTGTTGGCCTCGCTCTTCATCAAAAACCTATCTGTCTGTCTGGAACCGTGCCTAGTAGGCATCTTATGCCCACCCCCTGATGGCTCCACACAACGTTTGGCGCTCGAGCATTGTCATTGTACACCGAAACCAAGCTTTTCTGATCCGTGTATCCTATCACACCTACAGACACCCAGTCGATGCTGTGGATATCCATATGTATGTGGGATCTCAGAGATTGGGACGGTAATTCCACATTTCCTTCTAAGCAGCATGTATCTGAACAGTGTGATGGGGATGTTTACGACGCTGTGATATACAATGGAATCGCAAATGAACTAACTCAATTTAAACCATGTTCGCAAACAGCGCAGAGCATTAGGTGGTGAACAAAACCGGTGACCTAAGCGACAGCACCATAGGCATCAGACTGAGCACATTTGATTCTTCAGTCATATATCAGTCCTAGTAAACTAACGTTGTTGACAGGTTCAATGTTTGCGGAATTCGACGCAGCACACTCATCTTCTTTTCCTTTGTTCGTGATATGTATTGAACTTCCGCGTCTAAAGTGACATTCAGTCTCATCAGTTTTGTTGTAACAAATATTATACATTTGAAGTCATTAGTACTGAATCGAAAGTACATTTGCGTGCCTTATGCTCTTACTAATTACCATTGGTTGGCAAAGAAATTTTATCATATCTAATGGAAACGAAAATGATATAAACCGCTTAAGTCAAATGGGAAATTTTCCTGTTTGTTGGAGGAAAATTTGGGAGGGATTCAATACGACCAACACATGATATGTATATGTAGCCCGTGTGTACATAAACCCGATTTGGATTGGCAAACAAACCAAAATTACTCATCATCAAAGATGTTCTTAAGTGATCGTGATCACTTGATGATAGTCAACATCTTTATAAACCTCAACCTGGAAGAATAAAAACCTATTCCTTTGTGATTTATACGTCATGTGATCCAAATTAGCTTAGTAGTGGTATGAATGACCTCAAAAATCCAGTACAATGGGAACTTCTGTGGTTTGTTTTATGCGATTCTAGCGAACACCTTACACAAGACGGTAAATCGACTTTGCAGCTTTTTTGAGCCTTACGAAAACAAAGTATTCATTGTGTTGATACCTCCGGTCTAATCAAACTCTGGTGACCCTTTTCGGTCTTGTTTTGACCCTACAGATCCATCACACCCCGTTTCCCGGACCAAGTTCGTGACGCAGTGCAATTTTCCGATCTGTTTTCATAGCTGTACAACCAAAAAACGACCTGTGAAAACACTTTTGTGCGGTAAGCTTGTTCCTGAAAGTGAAATAATAGGTTGGGTAATCCTGTCCCCAGAGGACTATCAAAATGGGACTGAAAAAGTCAGTCAACTGTATTCGGGTGTATCGTGACATATTCAAAATCAACACTTGCCAAATTATTCATCAAGTTACTGCAATACTGATGAAAAAGTTCATTTTCAGTATCAAACTTAGAGTTCGGTAGCATAAAGGACAAAGTTAAGAATTTGTTGAATTCGCCAAAAATGTTTCTCTGTTTTGTTTATGTTGTAAAAGGAACCACCTCTGTTCGGTTTTATTAAACTATAGTGCATAAAAGTACATCAGAGGACAAACCATCCTGCGCCCATACTGGCGACCGTTGG